AGAATATGAGGAGATACCAATGTTTGCTTGAGCTCCTGAAAAGCTTTCTCACAGTCTTCACTCCAATCAAAGCCTTGGTTTCCTCTGAGGACTTTGAAGAAGGGATAGCACCTGTCTGATGCTCGGGACATGAATCTGTTCAAGGCTGTAATCCTACCAGTCAACCTCTGTACGTCTTTCTTGTTCCTTGGTGATTCCATACATGCCAAGGCTTGTATTTTATCAGGGTTAGCCTCTATCCCCCGGTGAGTGATCATAAAGCCCAAGAACTTGCCCGAGGCTACTCCAAATGCACATTTTGCGGGGTTTAACTTCATTTTGTGCTTTCGCAAGGTGTTGAAAACCTCTTCAAGATCTGAAATATGTTGGTCCACTTGTTTGCTCTTGACCCCCATGTCATCAACGTACGCCTTCACATTCCTTCCAATCAAGTTAGCAAAGACTTTGTTGATGAGCCTTTGGTATGTTGCTCCTGCATTCTTCAAATTGAAAGGCATGCCCCTATAACAGTATATGGCGAAATCGGCCATAAATGATGTCTTTTCTTGATCTTTCTCGGCCATGAGGATTTGATGATGACCAGAAAATGCATCCAAGAAGCTGTATGGCTTATGTCCAGATGTGCTATCCACCAAGTTGTCAATCCGCGGTAGGGGGTAACTATCCTTTGGACATGCTTTGTTAAGATCTGTGAAGTCAATGCAGACCCTCCACTTACCATTGACCTTCTTCACTAAAACAACATTGGCAAGCCAATCGGAATATTGGACCTTCCGAATGAATTGAGCACTGACGAGTTTGTTAATTTCTTCCCGAATGACCTCCCGACGTTCTGGGGTAAACTATCTTTTCCTCTGCTTACTGGTCTAGCCCCTAGGCTAATGTTAAGCCTGTAGACTACAATTTTGGGGTCTATCCCTGGTATATCCTCAACCTTCCAGGCAAAAACGTCAATGTTGCGAGATAAGCAACCAATAAGTTCTGTCTTTAGGGTGACGTCAAGATCCCGACCAATCGTCACCTTCTTATCATGCTCGAGCTCGATTTCCATCAATTCTTCGACAGGAGCAAGTCTGACTTGTTGCCCGGCCTCGGGCTCCATCCTCGAGATTTGCACGACGTCGTTATTTATTTCCCGAATGCTAGCAACATAGCATTGTCTGGCAGCTGTCTGGTCTCCATGCAAGACCCCAACGCCATTACGTGTTGGAAACTTCATGGCTAGGTGGAAGGTAGACACAATGGCTTTGATCTTGTTCAGGAGTGGTCTTCCCAGAATAGCTTTATAGGCCATTGCGACACGTACCACTTGAAAAGATGTCATCTCTGTAACCTATTTCTAGCCAGAACCCAAAGTTAGAGGAAGCTCGACGACACCCTCTGGAGTGATGACTCCTCCCCCAAACCCCTGGAGAGGAATTTTAACCGCTTTGAGCTGTTGAGATGAGATTCCCATTTTGGCAAAAGCTTCTTGTGAAAGTATATTGGCCGCACTTCCGTTGTCAACCAAGATTCTCTTTACTTCAAAATTGGCCACAATCGCTGAGATGACCAAGGCGTCATCATGTGGAAGTGATACACCTTCTAAGTCCCTGGTCCCAAAAGTAATATCCTCCAGCTCTCTATGAGGCATCCCAGAGGGCAAGGTATATTGTCGGGCGTATTGTTTTCTTCCACTGTTGGAGTCTCCTCCCGAGGCAATACCCCCAATGATGATATTGATGGTTCCAGCAGTGGGTTGACCATCCCTTTTTGCTTCAGGGTCTTTTTCCCTACCACGATCGTTCCTTCGGCGTTTGTCGTTACCGACGTAGGAACTTAGGAGTCCTCTTTTAATAAGGGCTTCAATCCCCCATTGCAGGGCCTTACAGTTCTCCGTGGTATGCCCATGATCCCGATAGAACTCACAGTACTTGTTCATGTCCCTGGATTCGGGTAGTGACCTCATTCTGACAGGCCATTTAAGTTCTTTCATATCCTTGATCTCCATCAATATATTTGTCTTTGACGTATTTAAACGCGTGAATGACGTCGGGGGAACCTCCTGTCTCTGCTTTCTCCGAGGTTGTTCTTCACGGGGGTTCGGGTCGTGCTGTCGTTTAAGCTCGACCCTGTCATGGGGTGGTCCAACATTTCTCGGGTTCAGTGTTTTCTCCATATTTATGTACTTCTCGGCTCGGGTAAGAAGCTCGGTCACTGTCTTTGGCGGAGTTTTGGATAAAGACATCTTGAAAACCTCACACTTTATGGCATATGTGAGGGCAGAAACTGCTGCGGTTATATGTAGGTCGGGAATCTGAAGTCTTTCCTTGTTGAACCGGGTCATGAAGTCACGTAGGGTCTCATTTTGTCCCTTGTCTAAGTTGCATGAGGGAAGCTACTATCTTCCTGATGCGTTTACTGCTTGCGAAGAAAATAGAGAACTTGTCCGCCAAATCCGAGAATGAGGCTATGGAGTTGGGCGCTAAGGTTGAGAACCAATCCCTAGCAGCATTCGTCAAAGTTTGCGGGAAGGCCTTGCACATCACCTGATTCGGTGCAACCTGTAGATTCATGACGTCCGTGTATACGTTAAGATGATTGATTGGATCGGTGGTCCCGTCATATTCTTTGATCCTAGGATACTTAAATCTGTCTGGCAAGGGGAATGTCAATATTTCGGGAGTAAAGAGAGTGTTGGGACTGAATCTTGCTGACCCTTTGTTGCCCTGAAGTAGGCCTGCCGTAATTCCTTTTTGAATAATCCTAGCAAGTTCCCCGGACTCCATGGTCATTGATCTTGAGGCCGAAGTCACATGTGGTATGCCCGAGGCCCCGCTCCACCGTTGTCAGGGACATGTCTCTGAGCTCGAGCTCGAGCATCAGCCATAAAACCCCCCTGGGGTGCCGGTGTGGGTGACGGATGCGAATTTCTTTGACTTAGCAGCTGAATCAGTGTGGCGACCTGTTGTCTGAGCTCTTCAAAGGCTCCGGTAGTGATGACTGTCGGCTGGGGTTCTGGCACTTCTGATGATTCCTCTTGAGGAACAGGGATATCCTCAGGAAGAGGTTGGTTTGAAGCGGATGAGCTTGCTGGTGGAAGACCTGAACGTGTGTTTACCATGGCTTTTGGTAGCGCTTCCCACAGACGGCGCCAATGATGCTACCAAAAATCGTACCTGCAGATTTCCCGAGCTTGATGATTTGGGTTGATCACGATCGTAGTCTTCCAGTACCTGAAACAAAGGCAACGAGGTATGTTCTCGTCGCTCCTCCGATGCTTAAGTCAGAAAGGGAATTATATGCGTGAGGCTATATGCTGGAGAATAGTAAAAACGTACCTGAATAATGGCCCAAGGTTTTGCTTTTATAAGGGTAGGTAGTGCACTCCTAGTAGGATTGTGCTGGTTGGATGTTTTTATCCAAGGGAATTCTATTTATAAAGAGTGCCCTACTTGTAATGGAGTTGTTTGACAAGTGGTATAAGGGTTGATACAGAATCCTTGGGTGTTTAGGTTTATTTGTTAGATACTTAAGGTCTTAGAAGGTATGTTGGTGGTATATGTCCCAAGGACTATTCCCGAGGACGTGAGAGGATGTTAATAAGTGCACGAGGTACCTCGAGGACCAAAATATCTCGAGGTCTCCGGGAGATCCCGAGGACCATAAAAGAAGGTGAGTTGGGGCATATATGGAGTCTTCGGGATGAACTCCTCGGGGTGTATCAATTATGGCAGAATCATGTATAAAAAAGGAGAAAAAAAAAGTAGAGAACTCGATATGCTCGTGTGTATTTCATGGAATATCAAAGCATCATATTTATGGGAGAGAATTAAGGTCGTAAAAGATACAATAGTAATAATAACTAAGATTGTGGGGACATAATTATCATTCGCTAGTAAACATAGGATTTGCAACATTGATTAAAATTTAACCATATCGAACAAGATCAATATATAACATGTCAATATATATTCTTATAGTTACTTTGAGAAAATTAAATAAAATTAATTGTACAAAATCTAATTTTTTTTACATGCATATTTTTGGTATATCAATCTCAATTTAATGATATGTGTTAAAAAAGTTGTCGAGGATATATGTGATACTCAAAACTAGAAAAGTGAAAGTCAGTGATATTTTTTAAAAGTAAAGAATATTCAAAAAATTGTGTTAAAATTGAGGGATGTCAATCGTATTGTCAATTAATTTAAAGTAGTTCATTATTGAAGAAGAGTAGTAACACCTCTTCGTCATAAAACTTTATTTCTATTTTCAAATAAATTAAGAAAAAGTACAATATAGTTTAAAATATAAATTTTTCTTATTGCATGTTTGGTATAAATTTTTTACTCCCAAAAATAAAATTGTTGATCATTATTTTACTATTCAAGTCGTCATTTTTTGACATTTTTTCTTTCACAAATAGGATCCACTATTTTCTCCAACAATCAAAAAATAAATTTTCAAAATACTACCGAACAAGTTATTAATGTACATCTATGTTAAATAATAATTTAAATAGGATCGATTTATATTTGTTGATAATAATGTATATTAAATATAGATATATAAAAAAATTATACTTTTAATAAAAGAGTGATTTATAATTTCGGAAAAAAGAAATCAAGTCATGGAGCAATAAAATAAATAAAGTTATCTCTTGTTTGATGGGCCTATTTGAGCCTATTATTTTCTCATTAAAATAAAAAATATGATCGTCATCTATCACATCAAATTATCATATTTGACTTTTTATCTCTTGTGTGAGATCCATAACGAATATATTTTTCATTTTTACAATAATATGTCTTAAACGAGGGCTTATTGTTGTGTAAAAATAATTTTTTAAATAGAGATTTCTGAAGAATTTGTAGCTAAAAAGTATAAAAATATATTAAATATATATGTAAAATATTTTATTTTATGAATGTGTAATTGAAAAAAATAATGAAAGATAAATTATTTTATTTTAAAGGGAGGAAAACCGGGGCTTAATCATTAGGTGACTTTCCCACATTTCCTGTTCTTTAATGTTACGGTGAGTGAAATTGACGCGTAAAATCATGCCCTTTATTCCCAATGCTTCAACGGCCCAAACTCAGATCGCCACCACCTTCCTCCGCCGCATCGTCGTCCCCTTCTCCACCAACCTCACCAAATCTGAACCGGACAATTCTCAAAATGCCCCGTAAATCTTTCATAAAACCCACTCTAATCCTAGCTTCCCTTCTCACCATCTTTGCCCTCTACACATTCCTCTTCTACACTCCTCCCAATTACGACAATATTAATAATTCTAATTTACTTACTTTATCTAATAAATTTGACAGAGGTATCGATAATTCTAACGTTAATAAGGTGAAAATATATATGTATGACTTGCCGAGGAGATTTACTTACGGAGTGATTGAGAAATACGCGGCGGCGCGTGGAGGAGTGCCTGTGGAGAATGATTCGCTGTTGAAGTACCCGGGGAACCAGCACTCGGCTGAGTGGTACTTGTTCTCTGATTTGAATCGGCCAAGTGAGGACCGTATCGAGTCGGCCGTGACTCGGGTCATGGACCCCGAGGATGCAGACCTTTTCTACGTGCCCTTTTTCTCTTCTCTGAGCCTCGTGGTCAACCCGATCCGACCAGCATATGCAAATGACCCTGCGGATAGACCTAAGTACAATGACGAGCAAATGCAGGTATGGCTCCCTTTTTGAATTTCGAGCTTCAAAGATTTCCAGTTTCGAATTCTTGATTTTTTTGGATCTTCAACTTGGATAATAGTCCAAAATTACTTCTTGTACTCGTTCTTCTATACTTGTACATTGCCAGAAAGTATTCTCATAAGCAACGCACAGAAAATGAAGTGCAACATAACATAGGATAAATTGTGCATACGTTCTCTCCATCCATGTGTTGCTGAAAGATGTGCTCTTATATTATTGGCAATTTCTGATGCAGGAGGGTTTGATGGAGTGGTTGGAGGAGCAGGTGTACTGGAAGAGGAATAATGGGTGGGATCATGTATTCATATGTCAGGATCCCAATGCTTTATACAAGGTTGTTGATAGGGTGAGGAATGGGGTGCTCTTGGTTTCGGATTTTGGGAGGTTGGGTCGCAATCAGGCATCACTCATTAAGGATGTGATCTTGCCATATTCACATCGCATTAATACCTACAAGGGGGATGTAGGGGTTGAGAATCGCAGGTCGCTGCTGTTCTTTATGGGGAATCGATATAGAAAAGAGGTAATAATCTGTCAGCAATTAATATCATTTTCCTTTTCCAGCAGTATATGTGAGTTTGTTTATTGGTAATGAGGTTATCAGTTAGAAATTGTGATATAGTCTTGCAACTTGTGAAATTCCATATCCATGGATAATCATATTCTCTTAAGTTTACTAATTGGTCATATGACAAATAATAAGGTACAGAGACCACTTTTTTAATTTCTAGCTTTTAGAAATATAGACCAAATCTTTAGCATCAAGTCTGGTGAATTAAATATATGTGGTGCCTTGCATTAGTATGGGAAAATTCTATGGATACGAAAATGAAGGAAGTAAATTTGATATTGTGATTTTATTATTGAGAAAATTTAAAAAAAATAAAAATACTTGACATGTTTTTAATTTACGTGTTAAACGTTCATAGTTTGATATCTGTAGACCGGGGTTGATCAATTAAATCTTTCTCATAGTTGGCAGGCAGTTTGGTTGTCAGGCTCAAAGCAAAATTTTGCACTTTTAGTTTTTACCTGAAGCTTGAGCTATATGGTGATCTTAATTGCTACCGTCAAAAAATGACTTAGCAGTCTGTAGAGTTACAGAGTCAAGTTACATAATAATTGAGTCCAATCAGATTCTTGATTTGGGTTGAGTCCAATCGGATTCTTGATTTGGGTTTTCTGCTTTATCTACCATCTATAGTTGTTTGTTTTCTTTTTTGAAAATTTTGATATCTTTGCACAGAGGAAAGATGTGAATGCACTCTAAAGATCACTTATCCATGGTTACATTTTTATCTAGGGGTTTTCATCGTGAATAACTATATCTTAGGAACTCAAATCTGGTAGCGTATGGTGACCGGCTGACCGCTCATGAATCTCTTTGTGCAACATTAGTAAGATAATAGTTGAAGCTGCTCAGATGTTAATGAGTGAACAAAATTTTCAGAACTTGCATCTGAACAAAATGGGGATAGGTTTTTGTGCATGCACTAAAGAACTCAAAAAGCAAGTTCAAAGGAAGAAATTTTGGAATAATGTGTGTTCCTCCGTGGCTTTGACAGTACTCTTCAGCTCAAATGAGTCCTCGATTGATTTTATCCTAGAGTAATATTATTATATTAGCTTTATATTTGATATTTTCAAGTAAATTTGGTTTAGGTCTGATTTCGTAATTATAAAAATCTGTAGTTCAGAGAAACTATGGAAGATGTTTTCTTTACATCGGTGTCAATTCATGTCTTCCTAGATTAAAGGGACAAGTGTTAGTTTATTGCAGAATTTGATGAGTTCTCAAATTATATTGGAATATTGTGAGATGTGTCCTTGGAGTGTAAATAAAGGATTTTAATGTCTCCTGTTGATTAGAGAGTTTGTGTTTATGAGAATTTGAGATTACACACCCTTTGTCGGTAAGGCACTTTTTTTTTCCCCCTGCTGCTATTTTAGATTCTGTTATTTGGAATATAATCTGATCTCCAGCCTTTTTACTCGTTGGAATAATTTGCTTTCTAAACCAATAAAGAATTGGGAGATTTCCAAAGGTTGTCATACATCAGGTTCATTTCTCATGCCTAAGAAAATTTGAGAATATGAGACAAGAATTTATCATATTGAGTGATTTTTCTTGTAAAAGTTATCTTTTTTCTTCCTTTCCCAGATTTGTAAGTAAAGTATTAATAAGATTTTCATCGTTGTTGGTCCATTTGCTTGTTCGACTGTGCGTGACAATATGGTTGCTTAAATTTGCACCTAAGTTCAAACTTATTTTATTTGTTTTATTGGAATGCAGGGTGGGAAGATTCGTGACTTGCTTTTCCAAGTTCTTGAGAAGGAGAAGGATGTTACTATAAAACATGGTGCGCAGTCCAGAGAGAGTCGACGTGCTGCAACACAAGGAATGCACACATCAAAATTCTGTTTACATCCAGCTGGAGATACTCCATCAGCATGTCGACTTTTTGATGCTATTGTCAGCTTGTGCATTCCTGTTATTGTAAGCGATTACATTGAGTTGCCATTCGAAGATGTTATAAACTACAGAAATATTGCTGTTTTCGTGGATACCGACACAGCTGTTAAGCCTGGGTACTTGGTTAAATCCCTTAGACGGGTGAGCACAGACAGAATTCTGGAATTCCAAAAAGAATTGAAAAAGGTATTTCCCTACACCCCATAGTTTTTCCCATCGTATGCTAGATTTCACTTTTTCTTCTTCAATATTTAATCAAAATTATTCTGACAAGTTGCTGTTCAATTTACACACGACTTTTAATTTCTGCATATAATCATAACTTACATTTAGTAAGCTCTGGAGGGTGGGGTGGATGGGTACATGTCTAATTTTAGGAGCCATTGCCTGGAACAGTCATGCTTGATTGTACTACTGTAAATAATTGTCAGCAGCCAATTTCATCCTAGTCAGGAATTGAGATACCCAAGTTTTGTATATGATATAGGTAAAACGATACTTTGAGTATGAGGATCCAAATGGAACTGTGAAAGAAATCTGGCGCCAAGTCTCTTCAAAAGTACCTCTTATCAAGCTCATGGCCAATCGTGACAAAAGACTTGTGGTGCGGGAGTTGGCTGAACCAGATTGCTCATGTCTTTGCTCGAACCAGTCAGGGGTTCATGCCATACTATGATTTCATCGAATGCTATGCTCCAACAGCATTTTGGTGACTGTAAATCTCAGATTTTTTGCCACTATTTTATTGTAGATTTTATGGAATTATTCTTTTACCTAATTCCTCTGGGGAAATTGCCCATTCATCGAGTCTAGGAGATGGCATTGATCAAGGTACAAGGGGATTCAAGCAACTACAGGCCAATGAAAACTAATACATGTACCTGCGGCGTTGAAGAGGACTAAGAGAGAGCACTTTGAGGAATGGAATTCGAGCTTTGATTAAATTTGCTGTTCAATTTCAGTTCAATTTACAGAAATCAAAGGGAAATTGAAACAAAGAACAATTAGAAGGATAGAGAGAGGGAATTCATGGCTTCCAGTGGAGAATAAACTGTATTCAGGTTGTCTTCTCTACCGATTCAACTAAAGTCGTGTCACAGACCAGAAGTTGCTAGATACAGTTATTTTGTACATCTATACTATAGTCGCAGGAAGGATTTTGCTGATAAAGGTTTGTTTGGGAGAATTTTTTTAAAGTCATAAATGATTGTTTGAAAAGTAGGAAAAAATAACAGATTTCATGAAAAGTTTGTTGAAAATAATTTTGAAAACAATATCTGCACGGAAAATTGCATTGAAACCAAAACATTTTAGAAGTACAAATAAGTTCTAAGTCTTTGTTTAATGGAGATTAAAATTAGAATTTTAACAGATTTTGATAGAGGTTGATGAAATATGTAGTTGAAACATTGTAGGTCTTATAAAATATGCGGTTAAAATTAATTGTTGACTTTTATTTGAATTTTGATTAGAATTTTTAGTCGCCCCAAACAGGGGCTAAAATTTTTAAAAAACATGCAAAATAGGGACCTTCGTATTGTTATCATCTAAAGTTATGTTATATTGGCACGTGTAGACGGTGTAGTTTACCTGTCTAATATGCAACGAGCAAATGAGCATTTTCTTAATTTTAATGGTTGTTCGACAAACTTTTTAGGGCAAATTGTAGCGATCTCAAACTTTTGGTCCTTTTTTTCTCCAGATCTTACCTTAATCTTCAGTTTGTATCACAAGCGTTCCCAATCCTTTGAAAAATTAGCACATAGGGTATTTTATTTGTTTGACAGTAAGTTGACCGAGGAAATGTGTATTGACCAAATTTAAAGAGGGCAAAATTCTCAATTCATCATTACTCCCCATAAAACAATTAAAATTAAGAAAAGGTAAAATAAAAATGGAACGGTTCATTGTCCTAACCTACCCTTCTTATGGGTGGGTCAACTTAGCCGACGACTTGCTTAACTCAATAGGAAACACAAAAGAGCGATAAACTCCAGCGACCGAAAATTCTTGAATGAAGAAATCAATCGTCAAGAAAAAATTGTTGCCTTTGTAAAGGAAAGTGTGATTGATTATGTTGTGGCTTTAGAAATGCAAGTCAGCGATGGGTTGGGGCAATGTATCAGCGATGTGTTGAGGGTGATGAAGATGGTGTGGTGGTCGTGGGTGATGGTAGCTATGTTTCAGAAAGTTTGTTTTTTGGTTTGTTATGGAGATGGCGGTGAGGGGTGGGTTTACGACGGGTAGAGAGAGGGGGATGAAGAAAATGATTTTTTTGAACCTAGGTGCTAATTTTTCGAAGGTCTGGGATCACTAATGGTTCAAACTAAATGTTAAGATAAAGCCTGCAAAAGAGTCAAAAATTTGGGACAGCTAATGCAATCTTCCCAAGTTTTTAATAAAAGTTTTTACAAATTTTAATAAAAATGGTGCAACGTTTAATTGAAAAGTTAATAAAACTTGTGAATCCAATTGAAAAATTGATAAATATTTATTTATAAAATAAATCTTAGTTAGAATAAAGAAAAATTAATTCAGAATTAACAAAATGAAAATGAAAGAATAATTAAGAAAAATGAAATTTCTTTAGTTTCTCCTCGTGGACTTCCTCATCTCCACGCTATATTCATGGCAACACCCACCTCATTCGACACAACCAGGGAAGGTTCTCCCATTGGTTAATCTACTTAAACCCTATTGGGATGAGGGTTGGGTTGGATGTGAAATTGGGGAAAATAAAGAAAAATCATTTTTCCTGAATCATTTTCCATTTTTTTTTTCTATATTATTTTTTTTCATTAATTTTTTTAAGTGGAAAAATACGGAAATGCACTAAAAGGGATTATACTATCCAAAAATCGCATAGTTTATCAAACTTTTGGAACAATGGTGAAAAAAATAAAAGATTTGAGACTTCTTTATACTTTTTGAAAAGGTTTGGACCCCATAGCATGTTAAATGAGACGAACAAAACATAAATGTGGTTCAGTTTAATGTGTTTGACAAGTTAACTGTTCCAACGGTCATTGAACTTAGGTCAATGTCTTTAATTGGTCACTGAAATTTAAAATGTCGAGATTTCGTCACTACACTTAGGTCTATGTCTTCGATTACTCACTGAAATTTAAAATGTCAAGTTTTGGTCACTAAACTTAAGTCCATATCTTCGATTCCATTGAACTTTAAAAAATATTTTATATTACTCACTGTAAACTTGATATTTTTCAAAGTTCAGCTACTGTGTTAGTGAGTAACGTAAGATATTTTCCAAAGTTCAATGACCAAAACTCGACGTTTTAAACTCTAGTGAGCAATTGAAGACATGAAATTAAGTTTAGTAACCAAAACTCGACATTTTAAATTTTAGTGACCAATTAAAGACACGAGCCTAAATTTAGTGACCATTGGAACAATTAATTCGTGTTCGACAAGTAGTCATCCTATTGCCTAGGTCCGACTTTTGAAAAGTAGACTAACAAGTTGACTAAGATGCTTCTATTGTAGAGATGTCATATTAATTGCTTATAGAGTGATCTTTTACGGAAGATGTCTTGGAATAGGTGAAGTGAGATGTGCATTTTCTCATTAGCAGGCTAATTGCCTTAGATTTACTCTGCAGTTATAGTACCTCGCCTAGATCATAGAGGGTCGATCTCTATATGGTATTTCGATTGAAGTGATGCATCACTTCACATATCTGAATATATGGTATCGGTTAGATTAGGTAGAATGCTTGGAGCCTCGTCAGAAGTGACGTAACGATTACTATCCAAAAATAGATAGTTTATCAAACTTTTGGAACAATGTTGCTAAAAATAAAAGATTTGAGACTTATTTATACTTTTTGAAAAGGTTTGGAACCCTTACTGCATATGTTAAACGAGACGACCAAATCACGAATGTGGTTCAGTTTCATTAAGCTGTAACTACTATATATTTGCGATTAGATTTCATAACCAAAAAGTGAGGGAAATAAAAATGGCAAATCTTGTTCTGAAATTCCCCAACAACTTGAAGAGCTTCTCTGTATCAGCTTCTGCTTCCTCTAATGGTCAATTTCTGTTCATATGTGTACAATTTTACATTTACATGCCTGTATGTCTTTGTATGCTAGTATTTCTGATACTACACATCTATGCCCTCGTGGTGTTTGCTGAAAGCCCTGCGTATATTCTTTGATAAAGTAGCGATGAAATTTGTTAATTTTAGGTAAATTTTGATGTTTGTTATTGACTTGATTTCTTGGTTCCAGGATCTCCTCCTGGCGTGCATCAATCTAAAGGACCAGTGATTCTTGAACTTCCCCTCGATAGAATTCGGAGACCCCTTATGCGTACAAGAGCTAATGACCCCCAAAAGGTGAAGGAACTTATGGAGAGTATCAGTGAGATTGGGCTCCAAGTGCCAGTAAGCTAACATTTCCCAGTTGTTTAATTTCACATTGCCATATGAAATTTTTAATTGATTATCTTACTTCTATGGCGTCTTTGGAAGAAAGATTCTTGGATACAAGGAATTGGAACTATAAAATTCTATCTTAATGAAAATTCACCAGCCCAAAAAAATCATAGTGTCCTCAGGTAAAACTTTGTGGAGCATCTCATAAATAAGGATAATCCAACCAATTTTCGAAAACTGCTATGAAATGTGAAGGCAAGTTTTGTGCTGCTAAACTTGGGGTTCTCTGATTTGATCTTACAACATTGATGTATCGTATAACCTTAAATAATCTTGATGTGAATTTTCATCTGAAAAGAACCTGCTCAACTAGTATGATTTCTTTGTTGCTAACCATGAATTATTTTCAATCCCATCTTCGAAATCTTCATATCTTCTCCACTAACTTCTAAATCTGTTTATTTGTTTCATCATTCCTTCCATGGATTGGAAACTTGGCAGCAATATAATTGGGACCCGGAGCTTCCTTTTAAAAACCTCATCCCTAGGGGCGGCCCTTGGGGGGGAGGGGGGCCTATATGGTCAATTGATCCCCTAGTTCTTCGAAAATAAAAAAATAAAAAAATAATAAAAAAAATAAAAATAAAAAAGAAGAAAAAATTCTGCTTTTTTTATTATTTATTTATTTTTTTATTAGAAGGTCAAAGTTTAACACCTACGCTATAAATGTATAATGCAATAGGCAGCTTCAAACTCAGCTTTGTGCCTTTGTCTCTCTCTCCCAATTTTCTGATTGTGGGATTGCCATTACTATTTACGGTTTATCCATCATTTGAAAGTTTGATTGTGATCTCCTAACCCAAAATGTTTGGATCCGCCCCTGCTCATCCCTTCTTAAAAGCCTATTTTAGCCCATGCTGGGAACTCTGCATTGTCAATAGTTCTATCACTGAAATGACTTCATGAACCTCAAGATTTTTCATCTCTCTTTCTTAAACATTTGCTCCTTTATATGGAATATTTAATATTATCTCATGCCTATTTATGTATATGATGCAGATTGACGTGTTGGAGGTTGATGGCGAATACTAAGGTATGTGGGCACCCTGTATATTTTTGGATACCAATACTTTGATTGTTCTGTTAGATAATGCCATGTCTTTATTCCTCTTTCACTTTGAGCTTCTACTGTGTTAAGGTTTTTCGGGTTGTCACCGTTATGAGGCTCACCAGAAGTTGGGGCTCCCAACTATCCGTTGCAAAGTTCGTCGGGGGACAAAAGAAACTTTGAGGTTCTTTCCATCTGAATCTCCCTTTCCTTGTTTGTGTTATCAAGATTTCAAGTTATTGGTTGATTATGTAGTTTATCCGAGTTATAATGTATTTACACATAACAAGATTTGTGCTTCATATCTATCATGCAGGCATCACCTACGGTGAGTCTTGTGAATATGCCCAGATCTCTACATCAACTAGAATAAGCAGCTCCATTGCTAGTTGATCTTTGTTGTAAATGCAAAGCAACTTGGTTGCTGGGTTTCTTGTAAAAATACCAAGTTTATATAAGTGAAAGTTTGCTTATGTATTAATGTATTAGAGAGCCAAGAACCATACATACTGGTTTATATACTTGTGAAATGGAAAATTTCTTGTGCATTTGTAACCATTCTTGAATTTTTCTACGACTTTTACACTTAACTATTAACAGTACCAAATACTGGTAAATAAATTTTTATGAAGTACTCAACAAATTTCAGAGAGTATAAATTATGCATTTATACATTTTTAAAGAAATGATCTCCCGCCCATATTGAACAAGATAAAAATTGTCCACTGTTGATGTGGTATTGCAACATTTACGATCAAGACGTATTTTTAAACTTTTCAAAAGAAAAAAAGGTTTGATTGTTGATGTGACAATGTCACGTCAACAAGTAGATATTGTAACTCTTGTCCGCTATAGACAAATGATCATCTCTATACATTTTTATATCATTGTTTCTTCAATTTATTTTATTTTTCAAATTAATCAAATCATGAAACAGAAACTCTCAGAAGCACCCAAGTGAACAGTTAATCTACATAATAGCCATAAATGATGTGTAGTTGCATTCCTCCATTATTAAAGCTAAGAAAATCTGAACGAAAGCTTTGCTGAGTCGACCCAACTGCATGAATAATCACCATAATCTGATAATGTAGCACTCAACACTCTCATAACTCAGAAGCAGGCTGTAGTCTTGACTTTCTCAAGTTTCGAAAGTGTGCAACTCGTGGTTGATATTGTAAAATCTTCGAAGGCCCATTCAAGCTAACAAAACACGCTTTAGTGAATTCCAACCAGCTCAGTCTTCCTTTTACAAATCTTTTCATCATTTGATTCTCTTACCTTATTCTTTTAAGGAGTTATGCCAGGAATTTGAGTAACAGGCTGCTTAAGTTTTCTGGTTTTCTCCACCAATAAGGCTTAAGTAATCAGGATCACACCAGCAACTGAGACAGCATTCTGAATTGCGCACCTTAAAACCTGTGAAGGATCAATAACACCAGCAGCCATCAAATCTTCATATCTCCCAGTCATTGCATTGTATCCAATTTTCCAATCAGAAGACAGGATCTTTTCCACAACCACAGCAGCATCTACCCCTGAATTAGCTGCAATCAATCTAGCTGGTGCTAGAAGAGCCTGAAAGTCATTGTCAACAAATTTATAATCCAAAAGTTTCGAATTGGATAGGCCTGATGGCAAGGAAAGGACAAGTAACATACCATTGTTACAATGTCAGCACCAATCTGCTCATCTGGATCTTGAAATAATTTCTTTATGATGGGTATTTGTTTTGAGAGATGTGTATAGGTGGCCCCACCACCAAGTACAACAACTTCATCGATGGCAGCAGAAGTAGCATTTTTGCATCCTCAATTCTTAGCTTTCAATCTTCAAGTTCGACCTCAGTGTGTGCTCCTACCATAATTACAGCCACTCCACCACAAAGCTTTGCAATTCTTTCAGAAAGCTTTTTCGCCAGATACTTACTATCAGTTTCAGCAGGACCTTTCTTTATCTGCATAATCCTTGCTTGTATTTCAGCTTTAGTAGAAGGGTCAGCAACAGTAGTTGTAGAATTGTTTGTTACAGTTACTTTCGTGCAATACCAAGCTGATCAGAAGTTGCACTCTCAAGAGTCAGGCCCAAATCTCCAGTGAGAAAATCAGCACCTGATTACAATAATGTTGATCTAATTAGCGAACACCATTAAAACTCGAAGAATGCATTCGTGCAAGCAGAAATCAAAATTTACAGAAAGTCTTGTCAGCATAGACTGGAACTTTGATTCACCTTGAAATGTTCCAAGAGCTCAAAATGATATATAAGACAGAAGTTTCCTTAGCAACTACCTACTTATTAAGACTCTGGATCAACTCAGTGTTTCCAAATGCAACCAAGGATTACGCCTTGAGGCGAGCCTCATAAAAGGCTTTTTGATGGAGATCCTGGAATATATCATATGGAAGACTTTCAAAATTGTATACGTAATTAATATTTTAATAGTTGTTTTTACCTAAATTTGATAGATTCTCTAGGATTTTATTAGATGTTTCCTACTTAGAATACGATCTTTGAAACCCTATATAAATGGGACTTAAGCATTGTAATAGATAAAACTTTGATATGAATAGAATGACACTTCTTATCCAATTTCTCTCTATTCTCTCTCTCTCTCTCTCTTCTCTTTCTCCTCTCTCTTCCTCCTCCTTCTCCAATTTTAATGTAGGATAGATCGAGGGAATCCACCAAGAAGAAGTAGGCAGGAAGAAGGGGAGAAACCAGGGGAGAAGAAGCAAGAAACGGGGAGGAGAAATAGAGAGTGGGAGGAAGAAGCCCCGGGAAGAAGAGGAGAAAACCAAACATTATTTCATTCATTCTCATCAATTCATCGTCCCCAAATTACAAAACAAACCAAGTATAAATAGCCAAGCAATAAACCTAAAGAGAAAAAAAAGGCTTGGGCCAAGCCCAATACATAAAATATAAATAAAAGTCTTCAACATAACATATTTAGGTGATGTCCTCATCAACTTCCCGGGGTGGGAAAAGAACTCGACCCTGTCGAGTGGGTGAATCAAAAGCTGCAGTTGATCTGATGCCCAAAATGCTCCAAGTTATGCCACAGGGGATGATCCTTTTGACGAACCAAATATTGAAACTCAACAAATAATGGCAAAGCAAACTGCATATCATCCTTAAGAATATGATGTAACCAATGCAACCTAGGCCAAGGAAAATCTTGCTGTCTCTGATAAAGTTCCGATAAATCTAGATCAAGCCGCTGGAGTTTCTCTTTAGGACTCCATGCACAGTTAAACTCAAGTTGACCCACCCAACGAACAAGTAAGCATTGAACCTTTTCATCACTGGTCAACACAAACTGTTCATCTAAAATAACATCAATTTTATCTTTGTATGCTGTGATAGGTGGTATTCAAATAGGAATGGCAAATGATTCAATATGGGAGTTTTCAAGTGGAGATAGAAAAGGATCATCAAAAGTGTTAAAATAGCCTTTGTAAGCATGAAAGTCCTTAGCAATTAAAATAGGGCGGTGGGCATAATGGGATGAAAGATCATTAACATATGCATTTGGACCAACATGCTTTGAAGTTTTAAAAGTACTAGCATTACGGGCTTGCAATGTAACATAATTCTCAATATTGAATTCAAAATGTCTTTTATGCCAATTAACTAGAAGTTGATATGATGCATTACTTGCTTCAAGTTGTTTATCGATATCAATATGTAAGTCATGCAAATGTGGTACAACTACCTCATTTGACGTCAACTCACTAGCATGTGAGGGCATGAGAATAATGTCTAAAGGTCTCCTAGGCTTATATAACTATCTTTAAAGGGATTCAAACCTAGAGATTGATTCACAGAATTGAGATGTGCAATTTCAACATGTGGAAAGATCAAATCCCAATTCCCAAGATTTTCTTTAAATATGACATGATTATGCAACTCATCAGCACCTTTGCATTGATTAAGGACACTACATACAACACATGACCGAGAAGTATCGGGAAGAAGGGGTATAATATCTAGATTCTTCGAAAGACTCCGAATATCACCTAAAGAGGTGTCCTCACTATCATCCAAGTTATCAAAATCTTCAAATTTAGGTTCATAGACTAGATCTTCTAACGACTCATCTATTACATCCTTTCGTTCTTCTATGACTAAGGCTCGGTTAGGATATTTGGAAGAGATGACAGCTGATGCATAGCAAGTGAGAAGAAGTCCTTGGAATTTCCAAAATTTTACCCTTATTTTCCAAGATTTGAGGAACATTAGATGAGGGAGGTCCTAGAAGGGGCTTAACGAGAAGAAGTGGAGCCAATGAAACAGAAGAATGGTTGTTGATATGCTTTCTATATGGAGAAGGGGGCCTTGGACTATCACGACCTTTACAATTATTTTTCCAAACGGGAGGAACACTAGACGGGAAAGGCTCTATGACAGATTCATGTTGAGGTGGCGCATATGACATGGGTGAACGATGGTGATCGCGCTTTTCATATGGAGTTCTAATAGTCAACTCATAATCTTGGGCTAAAGAATAAGCATGATCAATAGTAGGGACACCTCGAAGGAAAAGCTCACGCCTAAGATCATCTCTTAGACCTTGGCTAAAACTACTCAAAGTCATGCTTTTATCCTTAACGATATGACACTTGGTTCGAAATTCCTCAAATTGTGTAATATATTCGGTCACTAATCGATTCCCTTGTTTAAGAGAAGTCCATTAAGTAAAAACTTCAAAATCTAAGCGACTATCAAAAGTAGGAGTAATGAATTTAATACCTCTAAAGGAACTCTCCTTACGACGAGGAAGAGAATGAGTACCGTGATAGTCATAAGCTCGTTTTCGTCCACAAACTTGATCCCTATCACTACGATCATATTGAAAATATTTTCGATCTCCTCGTCGATGACGATAATGTTTATTATGGGGTACTTTCGAATTATCAATGTCGATCGAATGAGGGATTTGCTTAGAATTGTTCAAATTAGCAGAGAGAGTCTTACTCTCTTCAAAAGTAACAGTCATCTGGATTTGGATAGCTACTATTTGATGGATGAGTGCATCAAATTGTGAAGAGTCCATGTTTAGGTACAAAAACTAGAAGTGATAGGACAATCAGTCGACCACTAAGCATGCACTATATTAGCAGCTAAATGATGTGCACTAGAGAGATCAATGAACAATAAGTGCAAGCAATGAAAAATAATAACTTGTGTCCCCTTTTTTGGGATTAAATAAATTCAAATACGGCAAGCAAATACTGCTGGTATATGTAAAATAGTAAAGCAAGAGCCAAATACTAGTCAAACCTAATCACGTAAAATAAGTGAGCTAAAAGTAGAATTTAACGAAGGTAATGAATCCAATTACATGAGTTTAGGTAAAAACTGGAATAACAGCAGCACACAAAAATATTGACGCAATTTTAAATTGAAACAGTAATATAGACCAAAGATAAATAAAAACTGTAACTTCCCTTTCGTCTGTTTAAGTAACTGGGCAATCAACAGGATAAAAAAGGTACTTGCAAAATAATGTTAGAAAATGCTTTTTTTTTTTTTTTACTTTTCTCTCTTTTTTT